AAAGAAGAATTATAGCAAATGGCAGCTAAAAATAATAATTAAAAAAAGGCTTACAATACCCTTTTCTTCTTTTGCTATACTATGTTATCTGTCTTTCAGTGCATTCCCTGCGGTGGGGTCTGATGGAAAAGTGGCAAGAACTAGAAGGATCACTTATACAAAACTGCATGTTTACAAAACATCAGCTTTATCACGAAAGGCATCCTCCGTGCTTTGATGGAAGCATTTGGTACTTACAATTTAAGACTGCCTGGCATTACTGAGCAAGCGGTGGAAATTCCAGGTGAGGTGATTCAGCAAACTAGGGGTCAGAAAAATGCAGTTCTCTCTTTCTCTGTTGTGCCTGCTAAAAATACCAGGGCATATGGCAGCATATTTCAGCATCTTAACATACTAGGCTCCCCCGAGGACAGAAAAAAAGAGAAAACTTGTGCTGTTGAGCCTGAAATAGATTACTGAACAGTGTTGCCAGACACAAAGAATGCTGGCAGCAAAGCCATCAGCACAGTCAGTGTTTGCCTTTCCTAAAGGTGTTTCAGTTATACTTAATGGGCCTTAAAGAGATAGAAATTAAAGCTAGTAAGAATAATGAGGAATATAAGCATTTTTATAAATTAGTTGTCATTGAAGGTAGAGGAATTACACATATTGCATTAGGATATCTGCTGCTTGTACATGTACCTTCCTGGTTTTCCTTGTGACTGTTAAGTGTTGTCCCCCTGCTTGAAATAATCAAAATGCATATTATAATTACATGGTTTTCCAAAATCCATACACAGCAAGTACAAGATACTTACATGTAAATACACTATATTCACCTATATTTTTGCATAGTTTTTAGTGTGTACTTTGTGCCACTTAATAAAAGCATTACTCGCATATTTTTGTTTCGCTTTTCTCTATTCTACAGCTTATTCAATTAAAGTAGAAGTAGCTGGATTTTGGTATGTTCATCACAGATTACCAGTTCCTTGGAGTGTAGAGATCAGATACTTGGAGGAGTCTGGATAAGCAGTGGGGAAAGCTGCAGTGTGAGCATGGCGTTTTAAATCACCTCCTTAATTAGGGAATATTGTATCAGATTAACAGCGCTAATTTAATAAACTTACCTTTAATTTGAATGGAATTATAAAGGTAAGAACTCTGTTTTCCTTTTGGTAACACTTTACAATAAGTGGCACTAAATTACACTATAACGGTTATGTTACAGGGAAGTACATGTATCTACGCTGTAACTGCTGAAAGAGCTACTGTACATGTGCGTACATGGTAACTTCAGTGCTGTTACAATCATGAATTACATAATTACAGATGATTCTGTCCTTTCTTTTCATTGAAATAGTTATATATATATATATGTATAGTATACTGTCATGAAAATACACAAGATGTTAACTTTCATGTCTTATTTAGAAAAGTTGGTTTTCTCCACAAATTCCTTTATAGAGGGAGTCTCAGTGCAAGATGAACCACTCCTAAGAAATGTGAAAGCTTTTTAACGTGTTCTAGCTTAAAATTCTGAGCCTCAAAATTCAACATCAGGTTCCCTAAACTGTTTCTTGATTTGTCTGATGATGCTAAAAGAGTGTGAGGATGCACCCCTTGTCTTCTGATGCACAGCTTTCTTGTCCAAATCATGAGAATGTTCTTCAAACATTGGAAAAAAAGAAATTAAAAAAAAAAAAAAAAAAAACCATTTAAAAGTGTAGAAATAATCAGCAACCGACATTGTAAACAGTACACTGGCAGAAACTAGCTACCTGGTTTTGAGAAAACTACTCTGCATGGGAGTGAGGGAGAGGGTGTCACACATATTTTGGCTAATGTCTTCCCATTCAGAGACTCCATTTCATGCATTTGCTGGGTACCTTGCAGCCATCTTCAAAGCAATCTTTCAGAATGGGATCTTGACTAAAGGAAACAGAAAACTGGTTTAAAAACCAGCCTACTGAAAATCATTAGCTTTGAGGCATGGTTTTGCTTACAAAAGAGAATGATGCCTCTTCACACTTGGTACAGTAATTTCAATCTGTGAGGACTAGATAGGCTTGTGAAGTGCTACCCAGTCAGAATTTGCCATTTATGGCTGCTTGTTGTGGTTTTTACACCTGCTTTGCACAGATGTAAGTGACATCACAAGGTACAAGATAATGGAAGATCAACTGCATTAAAAATCAGCACATATGATTAGTTTTAATTGGAAACCAATGAAATAATACATTTCAACTATCCAATTCATATCTTTTTTTTTTTCTTTTTTTTTGCAAAGTTTAAATGCTGTTTTTATACTGCTGGAGAAAATGGGTCAAAACAATCCTGCTTTTGGAGGTCCTGCCTGACCTTCATCGGGCAACAGTTCAAGTAACAACTCTACTATTCAAACAAGCTGGAATTAGGAAGAATAAAAAAAGGCATAAACATCATACTTCTGGGGAATTCCACTTGAGCAAATAAGGCCCTTGTCCAGGGAAGCACTTCTTTTTATGCGTAAGAATAGTGCCTTACAGTTCAACGGAACTTCTCCCACGCCTGTCACTGAGTGTGTGCTTAGATGCTTAGTTCAGTTGGGCCCCAGGTACTGAAATGAAACCTTGCATTGTGTGACACTTTACTGTGGATAACTGGAAGTTACAGTTGTGGCAAGAATCCATATTTTTGGTACTAAACTGAATGACTTCCTTTGCCAGCCTTTTTACATGTGTATGTTTTGAAAGACATGAATATCTTGTAAACCTATACTAGTTTTCAATGTGTCTAGTAGCACCTACCTGGTTCTCTCAAACTACCATATTATATTAACATATTATTGCATTTTTCCACAGATGGGTATGGAGTGAACTGTAAAAACAAGCATGCAATCACATCAATGCAGACTAATTTCTTTAAAATGTCATACTGTATATGATTTATTATGTTAACACTCAACCACATCATATTATTTATGTCTGTATATTTTGAAAAAAAGTGCTGCTTGATTGACGTCACCCTTTTTTCTTGAAATTAACAAGATAAATGTTTCAACAAAAACAATTAAAATATTCTAGTATTGTCCTTAAAAGGTTTATACTCTTTTGATAAATAATCTGACACAGCACCTTTATCTTCCATTTTTCCATACTACATGATGTCATACTCCAAACTCTCCCTTTCCCACACAAAAATAAAATCCCAGGAGAAAGTCCTTTACAGTAGACCATCATGCTTTTAGGCTTCACAAACAAGTACAGCAACCAGAGAGAAATATTCTTTTGTCAAAGGTGCAAAACTCAGGAGTACAACAAACTCCATCTAGACTAACTTGCATTCTCCAGTGTAGAATCATTACTAAGAGCTGTTATGGCAACCTTGTTACTTCATTGGAAGAGGAAATAAGCCAATGGGCTTACAGTGTTTTGTTGTCGCAGTTAAGAGCATGTGTTTTTCAGCTGTCAATTACACAAAAAAATTCAGAAATAATCCAAACAGAGACTTTCACTGTGGAGCTAAAAGCATGGCAGGAATTCTCTATCATTCACGGTGACATAAGTTTGTACCTCACAAAATGCATAGACAGGAATTTAATATAAAGAATTAGTCCATTTACTGTATACACAAAACATATATCTTTTGTTTTAACATTTCTATTTTTTTTTTTACTTTTTTTTTTTTTTAATTTTTTTTTTTTAATTTTTTTTTTTTTTTTTTCTTTTTTGGCAAACCAACATAGAGAAGCAGCTCTGGAACTGCCAAATTAAAAACTGATAATTTTTGCAACTCAATAGTATTTTTTAAGGATTGTAATCAAATGTGGTTGTAATTTAAAACCTGAGGCTGTGCACTGGTTGTTAGCATAAAACTACCTTTCCATATAACATTGTGCTTCCATTGTATAACAAAGAAAAACTAACAAGAACTAGAAAAGTTTGCTGCTGAACAGTGCTAGGACATACAGACAAAAAAAATACTTATACATGTTACCTACTCAGAATATTTATTTGAGTCATATCTAAAGGGATATAATGGACATTAGAAAATGCCTACTTGTGACTGACTTAGCTACTGCCAAAAAAGTTAAATATGTATCAAACAATGTTTAATTGAATTTATTATATGCACTATATACATATACTAAAATGTCTTGCAGTCATGCCCCATGAACGCTTCAAATTTGAGTAGGCAGGTGAGTCCATGTAAAGCAAATAAATTACAAAAAAAGAAATTACTCACACACAAAACAAATCTCTAATCTTTGTAATCCCAAAAAAGCAGTAGAATGGAAAGACAAATTTGTTTCAAATGAAGCACTATTATCTAAATTTGCAGAATCAGTTTAGCTATTCAGCATGATTTTACCACTGAAACATGGCACTGCTGTCAAGGTACCATTTAAAACATAATAAAGCAAAGCAAAGCAAAACAAAAAATTTAGTGGATGGATAGTTGTTTTTTATCCCACCAAATCCAAGCACACAAAAAACTATTCTACAAAGACTTCTGTTTGTATTTCCTAGGGCATATGTCTCAAAAACAAGTTGCTTTTTTAATTATAGACATGTATAAAACATTCTTTGTAAACCTCTAGTCTTAGACTTAACATTTTATGTAAGTAAATTAGGTCCTTACCTAATAGTATTTGTTATGAATATTGTTCTATGACATACTAGTAGGGATCATGGTAAAAGAAACTGAAAAAGAAGAAAGCTGTATAACATTTAAAAATGTAGAAAACTTGAATTAAGATGATGATTAACATTGTTAAGGCTGTATATTCAAGCACTGTATGTTAAGAGAGCAGTGGATATGGATTTTAGGCAATAAGAAATGTCCTGCTTTATACACGATGCTGTAATTATAGAATGGGGATGTCAAGAGCTGATTGTTGGTATAAACTGGCTACTTAGAGCAGGTATACAAGTTAATAAAGATAGCAGAATATGGCAGAAATGAAGTCTGAAAAATGATAGCCAGTTTTCTCCACCATTCAGCCTGATAAGTAAAACTCCAAGATTCTAGTTCTGTATCTAAATGAAATACTCCTTTTTCTCCTCTGCATTGACTTGGCTGCCTTCTGCATTGATAATGGCTGTGTCGGCATCAGGTGCATCTTCAGCTCCTTTTGCTTCGTTTGTTAAATATGTTCCTATAGGAATCAGTACAACAGAAAAAAAAAAAAAGAAAGAAAGAAAGAAAAAAGATTAGGTTTTTTTAGATTTACATTGTATTATAGGAAGTACATTTCTAACAGTGCTCCAATTGCTTCATGAATGGATGGATACTTTTACATTTTTAGTATGGATGATACTGGTAGGTTGAGCTTTCTACTTTGTCCATGAAATATCTGTAGTATTAACACTGGTAATCCACATGCACAAATTCACATCTACTCATAGTAAATTAAAGAAATACCGTAATAGAAGACCACCTTTTATGTAACTGCAGTAGTATGCAATACATTTTGTAATTATAGAATAAATGATAAAATCTTGGTTATTTAATGGAACAACTATTCACAAAAATCAAATCAACTTTGAAGATTCAGATATTCATAAATGAAAAAAAAAAAAAAAAAAAAAAAAAAGACCACTTCTTTTTCACATGATTTTACCTACTCTTAAATTTTACTGAATTGTATTACGGTCATTTCCAGGAATTACAAAACTGAGGTAGTTTCACTAACTAAATCCATTCATATTATACTAGCACACATTTTCATGATCAGGAAATGAATAAAAAGTATTGACCTTGACAACCACTTGCCCCTTTGTGAAAAATGTAATTTATGTTGGCATAAGATATATATGCTTTTGTTCAGAAATTAAAAACAAAAGAGGCACATTTCTACAGGTTTATTTTTCCCCTACATGGTCCAATCAAATTAAAACGTTATTTGCATCAGCTGATGTCTGCTAGCCATATGATTATCCTACCTAAATGATTTAATGAGTTAATACCAATACTAATCCTTTCTTCTAGGCTTTTTTTTTTTTTTTGGTGAGGATAAGCAAGTCAACTGGGTTTTAACAACCCAGTCCGCAAGCTATTCAGAGGTTAAATCTCACAAAATGATTTCGGAATTAACTAGGTCAAAATGGGATCACAGAGAGGCTTAGTCAGAAGTCAGTGTCACTCCATCCCTCTTATCTCTGTTGGTGGTGGGGATTCACAATGAAAGGAATAGAATTCTTAAGGTGAAACCCCTGCATAAGGTAAAGCTTGACCTGGGAATGAAGCTCTTACTCTGGTGGGACCGTTAGCAAAAGAGCTAGTGATCTGGAATTTCACAATCAGTATTTAAAATTATTTTTTAGTGCTTTTTAGAAGTATCAGCACAAGAAAAATCTTGTGTATGTATATAAACATGCATCTGTTGACTTGATATACTAGTTAATACTACAAGATTATATAATCAGGTGTCTAGAGCTAAAGGCTAAAATCAAGGGTCACTCTAAATCAATGATTTGTGACACGAACACATAACTGGACATCCTTTGCCTTAGCTAGTCCACTGAAAAACTGGACAGAAACTCAGAGACTTCACTCATGATTAGAGTGTGAATGGAGCTTTCTTGTCCAAACCATTCATCAGATGGGGGAAGGTGAAAGGGAAAAGCATTCCCAAGTGAAATCATGCCTTGCTTCCAAAAGGGATAGAAGTTCCACTAAATCTATCCTACCTTTATGTCTTGCCAGGTATCGACCAAGGAGAATTATAGAACATAGCGTTACAAAGACAACTACAGCCACTATTCCTCCTATTAGAGCGTGGTCAGGTCCGGTCTGTCCAGCCAAAGCATTTGGATCTACAGGGAGAAACAAAAACCAAAAATGGTCCTACACAGAAAAAAACTGACAGGAAAAAATCACAATACCAAGTTTTACACTGATCATCCTGAAAATAGGGCATTTCCCTCTTTAATATTTAGCATGGTTATTCCCACATTTACTACCCATATCTTATCAACAACACAGTGCCACTTGTATTCCCAGACTGTCAAAGCCCTGAGGACATCACAGTTATGAAAAATATTACCTTCTTCTTCTTTGGCAGAGGTTATTAAATGGGAAAGGTTTCTGGTTTTGTCCTCGTCATTTTACAACTGAAAACCTGGCCACAGCTATTTATAGAAGGAAAAACAAGGAACCGAGAATTGGGGATCAGATAGCATCAGCAGAATAGTGTCTGCATAATACATAATTTATAGACCTGATTCTCAGTGGGGAACCCTTATATATTCTCTTCCTCTCATTCCTATCCTATTGCACCAGAAATAAAAAGGCAGATAAAGTGCAGCCTTGCAAAGTCCCTCTGCACATGGCTGAGTCTGCATGAATTTGGTCAGATAAAGGTATCGGGCAACCTGAAAGATCATCATTCATTTTCAAGCCTCGGTTTGAGAGTTTACAATGAATACTCAATTAGCACACAAACGGAACGAGCTGTAATATATTCAGCAGTGTATTCTCATGTCCACTTTACTAACTCTGGACAAGGTGCTACAATGAATGTTGTCAGATTTGAGCCTTCTGTGCTGGTCACCTGTCTATTCTGCTGGCTGGTGCTTTATGAATGTTGCAAAGAATACTGGGAAATGACACTATTTAGAGGTGGGTAATTCTCTGGAACTTTTGAACAATGAATGAGCAATCTTTGTCAGCTGAAATATGCAAAAGGAAGAAAATATTCCATCAAAGAGTCATGTTAAGATTTCCGTTTTGATGAAAGCGCCTCAGCTACATGGTAATAGTAATTCTCTCAAGATGCTATTAGCATGTTCTCTATGTTGCCGTCAGTCTATACACACTGTTTCAAGGGCATTTCCCTTGTAGCAGCCATTTATATTCTACAAGTAGTCTGCAAACAATTTCTTTTTGCAAAACAGAAAGGCAGAAAAAATATTTACAGATAAAAGAAGGCTACCCTGCAAAGACAATTAAAGTGCCTCTGATAATGCTTAGGAAGTGTGATTGTGTGACGCCACAATTACATTATGCTGACCAAGATCACCGTTTAATGGTGAGATGTATTTATATATCTACATACACACATATGTATAAACATAGCATTATTCAGATGAAATGAAAGAGGCATGCTTTCCCCTCTCTTTGCAAAACATCAGCCACATGGAAACTCAAAGTTTGCTGGAGCACACAGCAGTATGGGTCTTAGTAATAGATACTGTTCTGCTCTTTACAGTCCCCGAACCCCTGAAGCATGGCTTCCTCCCCTGCTGCTGGCTTCAGAACTCCCAACTGTTTGTCTTCTGGCTGCTAAGAGGACTTACGAAAAAATGGCCACAGCACTTCTGCAGACATCACAGCAAACTAGTTAGGAGCCTCAAGAAAGCTGGAAACACATTGTAAAGTCCACTGTCCCTGCCCCTTCTCCATCCTCATGAAAATTCTGGCTCGCTATGTTGAGGAGGGAAGTTCAATTCAAAAGGCCATGGGCTCTATTTTGATCAAGAAGGACCCTCATCTCTGTGTGCCAGCAGCCTTGCGGGAAAAGGCAGGAGGGCTGAAATCTCATCCTGCCAGAGCCACAGCTTGGAGCCTACAGCCATCCTTCCCCAGGCCTTGCAGAGGCTCTGCTTTCAACAGTGCTTAGAAGGCAGTGATTACTCACTTGAGAAAATGGAAGGTGACAGCTTGCTGCAGGACTTTCAGTCTGCTTGAGCCATCTAGCAAATTCCTCCTTCTGTGGTGCCTGTGGCAAAGTTGCTGTAAACCTGCTTCCAGCAGCAAAAAGCAGCAACAATTTTGGCACTCAGGAAGAGCAATGTCCGTAAGTGCTGTATGTAATTTGCAGGAGATGCTCTTCCCCAGAAACTGGGCAGGAGCAGGATGAATTTGTTTTCCCACTGATATACTTACATACTTGCTAATATAGTAGCATTAAAATTAACAAGTGAAAGGCAATATTTTGAGGGATAATATCCTTCCTGATGTAGAGTATAATACAGAGAAGGACTAGCATTGCATTTCATCCAGAGGTACTTTTTGAAAAGCTGATTGCAGCATACAAGCTCAATACCCAGATTTACACATCACTCTTATGTGAGCTTTAATAAGCACTGCAGACAGAAATTGTCGCATAAAGGTAATCACTATACACTGAAGTGAATATGCCTGTGTTTTCATCCTCAAGCGCTTTCCAGCATGTAGGTCCTTCCTTCAGCATACCTGATGCAGTGGACTGCTTATGATGAAGATTAATGAGATTCTACTGTTCCTAAAGATTGATATTTTTAGCCTTAAATTTTAGTTTTTCATTGAAATGCAAAAATAGTATTGTATTGCCATTGAGAGAGAACTTTATGTTTCTCAATTTTTGTAAGATTATATTGATAAATATCGTCACAGAAGACTATTCACAAAGAAACTGTCTATGAACTACTTTCATTCTCAAGAAGCCAAAAAAAGAAGATCCAGGGAACTACAGGCCAGTCAGCCTCACCTCTGTGCCTAGCAAGATGGTGGAGCAGATTCTCCACAAGGCCCCACTAAGGCAAATGGAAAATAAATACCAAGTGATTTGTGGTGACCAACATGGTTTCACAAAGGGCAAGACATGTCTGATAAAGATGATAGTCTTTCATGATGGAGTTATGGTAGGTAAAGGAAGGGCAACTAACATCATCTACCTGGATTTGCACAAAGTTTTTGACAATGGATGAATGGACTACTTGTTGGATAAGGAATTGGCTGGATGTCTGCACTCAGAGTTGCATTAAACGGCTCAGTGTCCAATTGGAAACTGGCAATGAGTGGTGTTTCTCAGAGATCAGTACTGGGACTGGTGCCATTTAATGTCTTTGTAGGCTGTATGGACAATGGGATTGAGTGCACCATAGCAAATTTGCAGATGGCACCAAGCTGCGTGGTGCAGATGATATGCCAGAGAAAAGGGATGCTATCCAGAGGGACCTGGACAGGCTTATGCCAACCTCATGAAGTTTGACATGGGCAAGTACAAAGTCCTGCAACTCATGTGGGGCAATCCCAAGTACAGACAGAGGCTGGGTGGAGAAAGGCTTGAGAGTAGCCCTGAGGAGACGGATTTGGGGGTCTCAGTTGATGAAAGACTCGATTTGGCAATGCGCACTTGCAGTCCAAAAGTCCAATTGTATCCTGGATTGCATCAAGAGAAGTGTGCCAGCAGGTTGAGGGTAACCCCTCAACCCCACCCCTCTACTCTGCCCTCATGAGTACTGTGTTCTGGAGCCCCTAGCAGAAGAACTCAGTTGGAGCAGGTCCAGAGGAGGGCCATGAAGATGATCAGAGGGCAGTAGCATCTCTCCTATGAGGACAGGCTGAGAGAGTTGGTGCTCTTCAGTCTGGAGAAGAGAAGGCTCCAAGAGGACCTCATAGCAGCCCTCCAGTATCTGCAGGGGACCTACAGGAAAACTGGGGAGAAACTTTTTATAAGTGCATGTAATGACAGGAGGAGGGAAAATGTTCTTTTTACTGCAAGTGGGTAGATTTAGACTAGCTGTTAGGAAGAAAATCTTTAGTGTGAGGGTGGTGAGACACTGGAACAGGATGCCAAGTGAGGTTGTGAATGACCCTTCCCTGGAGGCATTCAAGGTCAAGCTGGATGGGGCTTTGAGCAAACTGGTCTAGTGGGAGGTGTCCCTGACTATAGCAGGAGGGTTGGAACTACATAATCTTAAAGGCCCCTTTCAACCCAAACCATTCTATGATTCAGTGATTATTACCACAGAAAAAATAATCTTTTTAAAAGAAAAAATGAAAGGAAGGAATGGAAGGAAGGGAAAGAAGTGGAGAAAGATCTTCACAAGAAGCCAATATTTTTGTGGGGAAACAAGCATCCTTTCATAGCAAAATGAAAACCTGCACAATATAAACAATGCTATGAACAGGAAGTGCTTCTCATAGAAATTTTCTCCTCATTGAAAAATAATGTTAACATTAAATATAAATATGCTCTACATTATGCATGCTGTGTAATGCACTATACATTTGCCATTCATTAAATGACCTAAGCCCCATGCCTGAATTATAGATCTGGAACTATCTACCATCTCATAAATAATTACAGTGTCAAAATGTTCCTGAACAGTAGCCGAAAGACAGAAAAACAGGGGTTTGGAAAATATAGCATTTTGTATTTTAGATATTTATAGAGTGACCATACACAATCTTCCAAGTGCTCTAGGCGTTTTTATTACTAGCTCTCTTCAGGGAGGATGCCCTTTATTATCTTCATGAGTTTTACCTGGTCTTAGCCTGCCACACTCGTAACTCCAGTAAATAATGTCTTAATTATACAATTGTGCAATAAATTCTCATAATCAAGGGAAGAAATAAAAAAGGGATTAGTTTGTTAGACTATTTTCTACTGCAAGAGCACAATAAACTAAAATAGTAATTGCTTGAGACACAGAAATTCAAAGATCTTTATTAATCTAGATCTTCAAAGATCAGTTCTTATACCGTTTATTTTACTCTTTGATTGGACTAAAGAAATCTTGTAGCAAGACAATGCCAGTAAAGCCAAGGAGTCTTTTTTTTTTCGTTTCTGTCCTAAATTTAGGAAGTACTTTCGAAATACTGATTGCTGATACAGTGACATTTTCAGCTTCTCGGATTTACCCATTACTGTTTGTTCACAGACTTACAGAGATAACATACTTAAAATGAGTAAGAGGAAAGTAATAGATCATTCATTAAGAAGTGAAACACATTGGATAAGACTTTACACCTATTAAATAAGGAGATAAGTGCATTTTCTGACTGAATGACTAAGTTTCAGCGTAGAATATTTTTATGTGATTTCACA